CCCTCCTAGGCGTTCATGCCCCTTTAAGTCTTTACTCCCTTGGCCAGACGCAGACCCTCTGCTCAGGTTGTGCCAAACAGCGGCCRACACTAAGGGTTGCGCCTTAGTGATGCTAGTTATACCCCTAGCTGGGTCTTCTTATAAATGTCCAAGATTAGCACAAATAGTCAGGCGGTGTGTCGCAACAATACACGCCTACTGCGGGACTACACATAGACCTGTCGCATATAAAAGGTATTTACCAGTTCCTCTGTGGGACAACACAGGGGAAGCAAGACAACCTCTCCACAATCACAAAACAAAATCACCGTCTGATCCACAAGGCCGTGGTCTTTTAGCTTGATCAGAGCAAGAAAGTCACACATCTTGATGACATCTCTTAAAACATACCATTTGCGACATCCAAAAAATTCACCAATAGTCCAACAAAAATTTGGTCCCTCTCGTCAGTCTTTTATTACTCAAAGTCAAACTTCCATTAATCAATCTTATCAACCACCTTATTTATAGAGGAGGTCTTACCTTATTAGGTCTCTCAGTCATCCCTCTCTCATTAGGATGAATTCTCTCGTGACCTTTTCTTTAACGCATCTTCCCTCTCTGAAGATGCGTCTTCCAAATAGATAATGAACAACCTTTCCATTCACAGGTGTCCCTCTCATCATATACTCCATATAAAAAGACCAACTTGTGGGTCTTCTGCACAGCTCAACAATTGAATACTCACCATATGAATTTTCAGGATCCTCACATCCTTTCACAAAACAGACTGCACTTCCTTGCCTTATACTCGGCCCTCTCATCCGCCCAAGGGCAGGTCGCACGAGTATACCGGCGAGTAGACAGTTCACATTCATCCAGATTCACAAAGTACAAGATACATCAAACATTTTCTCGCGCATATTTCACACCAAGTCATCATCCATCAAACCAGGACCACACAAGTGAGTGTGAGAGTGATCGTCATATACAAAAGGTCTCGATATAATGTACACTCAGGGATAAAATATCCTACATGAAATGCCTCCAACATACACTCAGGGGCACAACGCCCAATACACAAATGTCCCTAAATCGTAACCCACCCAACTCACTCAACTCACTCAAATCCACACCCACACTGATGCCATCCTCAAAGTACAGGTTGGGTCTGTCTCTCGAAGATCAGGGCGTAGGCCACCTAAGTATGTACATGCCTCATCTACCATGTCCCGGTCCTCAAGATGACAGACTCAACAAAAACCCAACCCAAACTGCCTGACAAAAGCAAACAACACCTAGATCTACAAAATGTCATCCAATCCTAATTCTAATCCTATACGCAACATGTCAACCATATAGGAAAACTCAGTCCTGGTTGCTCATCTCCGCCCGGTTTTGCCTATATAGTTGAGCCCTACCCCCATCTGCAGATCTCTCTATTCTCCTGCCCTGTCTATCATACATCCTGCCTCCTTCCTCTGTAACTTTCCCTTCAGCCTTGTCCTTCAGGAACTTAGGACACTGCAAGGCTCGATGCCCCTCCTTTGTACAGAAGAAACACGACGTATCGAACCATTTCCTGGACCTCTTCTTTCCTCTCTGAGACTCTGGCGATGATGGTGCTTTGCTAGCCTCCCTGCTCAGGCCATGGCTCTGAGGCATATCCAAAGGTTCCTCTCCTGTCTCCATCTCCTGGGTACTCGGCCCTAGTCGATCCTCAATCCCCCCTGGCCCGTACTCAGGTGTGCCCAATCTTTGGTGCTTGCCCTCGATGACACCCTCCGCCTCAATCCCCATCTCTCTCTCAAGAGGCTCCTCTATCCTCTGCTCAGGCGAAAACAAGCTCGCCTCCTCCTGCATCGAGTGCACCGCCTCAATGAGCACGTCCATAGATCCCTCTGTTGAGCCCTGATCCGGCTCACTGCTGGATGGTGGTAATCCCTCCTCATCTGACAAAGGTATGACTGGGCCCGCCGCTGCTATAGGTAGCGTCGCGAGCTCAGTAGGGGCTCTGAACTCGAAGGCCTCTCTTTCTGCCTCCCTCTGAGCTCTCGCCTCCTCTGGCTCCAGGATGACTCTCCCCATAGGTGGCTCCTGGCTAGTTTCTGTTGCAGATGGCTGTCCTGGCAAACCATGTCCTGACTGCCTCTGCTCTCCCTGTCGGCTGCTCTCTGGCTTGTCCACCTTTCCCTGAGATCGCTGCCTCAGGCTCTTGATGATAGCTGCCTGACTGGCCACCAATGCCCTGAGTTCTTGGATTTCCACCTCCATAGCCTCCAGGCGTACCCCATGGTCTGCTTCCTTTATCTTCTTTCATGCCAGATTGCTCTCCAATAGCAAGTGCCGGTCAAAAGTTGCCTCTGCCAGGAACTTGATTTTGCTATCCAACCTTTCTTCCGCCTTCCTTGCCACCCCAAGCCCGACTCTGACTGGCGAAGGAAGCTCCTCTCCTTTCTGCTCCCAGAAGTCCCTCCACATCTCAGGGATCTCCGGGGCCCTAGTTGGCGCGCTGGGTGGCTGACATGGGAGTGCTCCTACTGCCTCCGATCTTTGCCTCTCCTGCTGCTGCTCCGGAAGCTCCCCCGCTGCCTCCAACCTCTGCCTCTCTTGCCATATCTCGTCTATCCTCCTGGTTCTTCTCGCCCTCTTTTCCTTTGCTGTCTCTCCAGCTGGCGCCCTTTCCCTCGTGCGGAGGTCAACCCTCTTCGGGATCTCTGCCTCTATCTCCTTCTCGGGCTGGCACGGCTCCTGGCGCGGCTCTGCAGGTGTTGGCTCTTCCAGGTCTGGGTGCTTCAGGGCATGAGCTGCTAGGTGTCTGTCAATCAGGGTCAAGGCTTCTCTCCTTACAGCTGCCCTCTCTCTCCTCCTTTCTGCTCTCTCCTCTGGCGAAGGAGCCTTTTCTGATGAAGGTAATGGGGCCTCCTCTCTCTGCAACCTCTCCCCCACCTGGCGAGTGCTCCCTGGTGCATCCCTGAGTCTCAAACCCACCGCTGGCGTCTGAGGGGGCGTGTCCTCCCCAACCTCTATCACTTCCTTCCCTGCACGTTTCTCCTCATCGCCCAGCCCTCTCTCTCGCTGAGTGTCCTAGACCTCCTCCTGCGGCACCTCCTCTCGTGGCACCTCCTCTCGAGGTACCTCCTTTGCCTGCTCTCCACGCTCCTCACCCCGAGGCGACGCTCTTCACTGAGAGATATCCAAGTGCGCCTCCAACTCCCTCAAAGGCTCCTCAGACGCTGGCGGCCCCTCCTATGTGCGTGCTGGCGACCTCTTCAATTTACCTTTGGCAAACCGATGGAACTCCACTGATCCCAACCCACACTCAGGGTACGCGCCTTGCTCCTCAGCCTCTGGCTCTGGCTCCTCCTCTCTCCTAGCTAGGGCCTTTCGTCCTCCTCGAGATGGTCTCGCCTCCGTTGGCTCAGGGTCCCTCTGCCTCTGACTCCTCTGACGCCTCTCAACTCTGGGCTGAGGGGGCTCTGGCCGTCGAAAGGCCTGTCTCAGATGTGCACTGTAGCTCTCCCAGTTCCGGGCCATGCTTCTGACTTGGCTAGCCAGTGGCCTTTCCGCCTTCCTGGTCCAGAGTGGTAGCGTCTGCATCCAATCATCTCTTGGTATACCCTGCCCCTGCATGAACCACTCAAACGCGGGGATGAAGTCCGACGCATTTCCAATCTCCAGGCGGATCGGCCTGCCATCAGGTCCCACAAGCGAGGGTCGCAGCTCCTGCATCCTCCACTCCACCTCTGATCTCGTCGTCGCCTCCCTACGGATCCGCGCGATGGGCTCCTCGAATCTGTCTGCTCCCCTTTGTCTCTCAATCGCCTGGGCCACGGTCCAGCCCATACGCCTCGCATGATCCCATAAGCTGTCCAGGAATAGCTCGATGTCCCCATCATCGTACACTGGAGTACTCTCTTGATGGTGAGGCCCATGCCGCTCATATCCTCTTGATGCTCCCAACGGCCTCTGAGGCGGCCGTGTCCCCTTCCCTCCTCTTGGCATGGCTGTCTTCGTAAAGTCAGACCTGCACAACAGGCGAAGGAGACAACAAGCACACATTCGGGTAAGCAAACAGGTGATAGTCAAAGCAAGCCCAAACCAGACCACACTCATTGAGCATACATCCTACCTGACCTACACACCCTATTACTTCTATTCTAAAGGCAGTCAGGTCATCTCTCTTACCTCTTCTCTCGCCACGAATTTCTTCAGTCGCGTTCCAGATACCCAATCCTTCCACTCAGTCCCATTCAACTCCTCAATCTGGTACGCTCCGCATTCTCCAACCCGTGCGATCCGGTAGGGACCTAACCACCTCTTATCAAGTTTCGTGGACCACTGCTTTTCCAGCGATGAATCCTAGAGAAGCACGACGTCCCCAACTGCCAGAGGTACTTTCCTCACCCGAGCAGGCTGATCCCATCGAGTCTTATCATCCATACGACTTCTAGCCACTTGATCGGACGCTTCCTGGATCCTTTGCTTTATTGCTCCTATCTATCGCGCCTGAATGTTGAGCAATTCCTCAAAGGACAGGTCGACTTCCAGATCCTGGCGCCTCCAAGTTTTAAGAAAACTCTCGATAGGGAAGGTGGTGTGTCTTCCATACCACAGCGTCGCAGGTGCTTGGTGGATCTTTTCACTGTAATGTTCTCGACAAAGAATGTCGCCCTTAGGTACCTTGACCATTGATTAGGTCTCTCTTCGGTCCACTTAGCCAGGAGACTCATAATGATACTGTGTCCTTTTTCCACCAGAGCGTTTGCTTGGGGGTGCGCGGCCGTGGTGTAGTTAGCTACTACACCATACCTTGATAACAACTTCTGCACCTCATGGCAAGTAAATTTCGATCCCCTGTCCATTACGAACTCCCTGACGAAAGGATAACACAGGTAGTACTCTTCGATGCAGCTAACCAAGACTGAACCAGTCTTGGTACGAATGGCACGACCATCTACGAAGCCAGACAGATTATCGCTCGCATCGAAGATGTAGTTATAGCCCTGATCCCCAAGCGGCATGAAAAGTAGATCGAGATGCACTACAACCCCCACCTCTCGCTCTAGCCTTGGATGCAGCAGCTCTTCTTGCCTCAAACGGGATCTCTCCTGGTAGGGTACGCAGGATCGACAGAATTTTCCGACCATGTCCGTCATCCCATCCCAGTAGTGCAACTCACTTATCTTCGCATACGTGGCTTGTACCCCTCGATGCCCTCCTGCAATGTCATCATGAAGTGCTGCTACGACGTCAATCTGGCGGTTCCTACCGCAGACGACTCTCCTGGGATTCCCCACTTCTCTTCTTACGAAAAGGTGACTGTCTCGCACTAAGTAGCGTTGGAGCATCCTCTGAGCCCTATCGCTTGCATCCCTTAGCCGCATCTCGCAAGACAAGAGAAGCCCCAACTCTAGGTAAATTCCATCATACTCTTCTGCACGAAAGACCTCCTTAATCTCCCCCCCTCGAACTCGTCGTCCTGGCTCTCGGGCACTTCGTCCGCATTCCCTGCCGGGTTCAACGAGCCTGACTGGTCGAGGCTTTCCTGCAATAGCGTGTTGACAAGGAGATATATTCCTCCCATCAGATCCTCATGCCGTTCTACCTGGCCTGGTCCTTCCTCGATCGTCCTTATGTCTTCCACCAGACTATGCGAACTGGCCAGCGCCAACTCCATCATCCACTGAACATCCTTACCTCCCCAAGGATCTTCTTCTTCAAAGGGTTTGAGGACTAGCTCTGCCCTCCTTTCGTATCCACTCGTCGCTTGCCAAATAGGATAGCCCACACAGCTAGGCACCCGCGGCGACCACTTGTTGATATGGAGATATCCGGCGTACTCTCCACTGCCTCTCCTGTCTGGTTATCCCAGTTGATACGACTCAGCCCATCCGCCCGGTTCTTGCTACCAGGAATACGCTCCAATTCGAAGTTAAACATCCAGATGTACGTCAGCCATCTGACAACCGTCGGATCCGATGGAACGTAATTCCTCAGAGAGTAGGCCAGGGCGGTCGGGTCCAGTCTCAAAATAAACCTCCTGCCGAAGATGTAGTTCCGGAAGATCCGTAGACAGTGGAGGACAGCAAGGGTCTTCCTTTTGAACTGAGAGTAGTTTCTTTCTGTCGTACAGAGAGTCCGACTCTCAAATCGCAAGGGCCTTTCCTTTCCTTCCACGTCTGCCTGAATTAAAACTCCTCCTAAGGCAGTTGGCCCCGCATCTGTTTCAACAATGAAGGGTCTCGTTTCCGTGGCATCATAATCTGGCGCTCCTAATACCAACCCTCCCTCTCGAAATTCCTCTTTCATTCTGGCCACTACCTCTTATTGGTCTTCACCTCAAACCCACTCTTGATCCTGACGAACTAACTTCCTCAGGTGCTCAGTCTTAGCAGCGAAGTTCTTGACGAAGGCTCTCCAAAATCCACACATACCAGGGAAGCTCCTGACATCAGTTATTGAGTGGAAAGGAACTGGCCACTCAGTAATCTTGTCCGTCTTCTTCGCATCCGGCGTTCGGCCCTTCTCGCTGCAGACGAACCCCAAGATAGTTGCTTCCCTCATGCAGTGTCTTGATTTTGCCCCGCTCGCCATGAGGTTATTCTCCTCGAGCAGGCTCAGGACCTTATCGAGGTCCTGGATGTGCTTCCAAACAAAGCGTCTTACCCCTGGCGAGACTTCGTCGCAATCCTTCACTGCCAAATCATCGATGTATGGTTGTGTGATATGAGGGCTGACTGACTGCATAACACGAATCATGGCCCGTTGGACCATTGCTACCGCGTTGGTCCACCCTTGTGGGGCCACATTCATGTGGATTAATCCTCGTGGCATGTGCATAGCCGTCACCGGCCTATCCGGCGGGTAGACTGGAAACTGATCATATCTTGAGTAGAGGTCTATAAGTGAGATTATAGGCCTTCCAACACAGGATTCTGACAGAGCATCCGCATTTGGCATTCCTCCAGCATCCCGCACGGTTACCGCATTCAGCCTCTGCAAATCTTGCACCCACCGCAGCGTCCCGTTAGGTTTGATGAAGCAGAACCACGGGGACGCATACGGCCCACTCGAATAATCGGCGACGTGCGTACGTATCTTGCCGTCGAGGTAATCCACCACCTTCTTCTCCTCGTCAGGATTAGGATATCGCGCCCCTCTCATGTTCCAAGGCTCGTGTGGCACAGTGTGGATGCGGATCATAGGTATTTTGTCCACATCCAGCCTGCCACGCTCCTCGTAACTAAACGCATAGGCGCGATGCCTCTTTTTCATCAACTCCACCATCAACGTTCGCTCCTGAGGCAGTAGGAAGTCGGGCTCTCCTATAATCAACTTCCCCTCATTTCCTTCGTTGATACAACATGGTCTTGCTAGAACACTTTCCCTCATTTGGCGTATCAACCCTCGTTCCCTCTCGAAGTATGCTTCCTCGTCTTCCGTAACGAGGACGGGAACTGGGCGACACTTCTTGTCTACCGTCTTGTACCGCTTTTGGGAACCCTTCTTGAGCCGTCCCCTAAAAAAGGCCGACTCATAGATTGCACCTGCGCGGACGTGGGCTTCCTCCTTCCGTCCGGAAGACGATATACCAGCTCCAATCTCCCAGCCTCGGGGCATTCCAGAACTTGCTCCCTCAAGGCCTGGATGGCATCCGGATCCGCCATCTCATGTGCGACAACCAAATCCATGGCCTTTCCGACGTCCGATAGGCTAAGGGAAAATGCTTTCACCTCTTCTTCTCCTTCCGGCTCCGCCCGAAGTCTTCGGCGCTCGCCCTCCGATTCTTCGATCGTGAAGGATCCTGGGTTGGGCCGGTTTCTTATACTCCTCGGTCCTGTATTTCTGCAGGTAATTATCTCGTAATTCCCGCAGGCAGGTTCACATAGGAGGAGGATCAAAGTACCGTCATGCTTGTTGAACATCACGGTTTCCGTCCTACTCAAAAATGACCTGCCTAGGAGGATCCCATGGTCCACGTCCGGCATGATGAAGAAGCAAACTCGAACCTTCACCTTTCCAATCTCGATGAGTACATTCGAGGCTGTCCCACAAAACACGGCCTTACAGCTGGCGCCGTGCAAAATACCGCATTCATATTGGTCTATGTCTAGCCCGAATTTGATAGCATCCTCCTCCCGGATGATGTTCATTTCCGCCCCGGTGTCCACTATTGCTGCGTACTTGGATCCTTTCACCACTAAGTCCACCGTGCCGCAGACCACGCACTTCCAATCTATTTTCGTGCCCGACTCCGCCCACTTTGCCTCCTTGGGCAGGATCGTACCCAGATGGACGTTGGGCACCAAGCGCCGCGACGACCTCCCTTTCAATTCATCGCGGAGTCGCGGGGCTGACGCTAGGATTTCCTTCAGGGTCATGAGGTCATTATGCCCTTCCAGCAGCCGCTCAATCACTTTCTCTACATCAAATCCCTCTTCCAACCGAACCGCATATTTCTTCTTTTTGGGTGCTCCGTCACGTATGACTGGCTCGGCCTCTCCCCTGGTACCCATTTTCCTTGCCCGCTGCTCCGCCCTCTGATCCTCTTCTCGGCGCAGCCTCTCATCTTCTTCCTCTTCATCATCGTCATCCTCTACTTCCACGACCTCTTTCCTTTTTCCCGGTTCAGACTCTCTTCTCGGAGGTTCTTGGTTGGCACTGGCCTTGGCTTGACTTCTTGTTCGTGCTGCCTGTGCCAGCCGGGCCTGCGGAGTGAGGGGTCTCCCCATCATTCCCGATTATGGGCACGACCCCACCACATTTACTACGGGTCGCCCAGGCGCTGACTTCGGGCCGGAGTCGTACATGAATACCTTGGGAATGCTAGACTCCCATTCCCTCACTTCTCTACAGAGGTTCACCAACTTCTGTTGGTACCTTCCTACCTTGTTCAGCAGGTCCTCCATCTTTCCCAATAAGGCAGACGATGGTTCCACCCTTGTTTCCTCGTCCTCGTCATCCGATTCGACGATTATGGGCTCTTCCCTCTTGCTTCCTCCTCGTGGCCCTCGTGTCACTTCCTCGTCGCTCCCCACTTCCTCTACCCCAATTGGTGGTTTCTCCTTTTCCTGCCATAGACTGAATGTGGCAGGGGACGGCGGCCCTGCTGCCGCCCTTCGTTGGGCTTCCACTCTCACTCCTCCAAGCCTTCTGTCAATGACCTCCCCAAATTGATTGTAAATGTTCTCATCCATGGTGGAGGAGATCAACCCGCTCCTCTCGTCTTCCCGTTTTATGTTACAGAACCTTATGGTGTGGCCTTGCTGGTCACAATGCTGGCAGATGGCCGTCCTCCAGTCAAAATGGGGTCTCCCATACCCCTGACTTCCCTGATCCCCCTGGCCTTGATGCCCCTCACCTGGGTACCCTTGGCCTCTGATTCCCCTGGCCTTGGTACCCCTGGCCTTGGTTTCCTCGGCCTTGACTATTCCATTGTCCTCCTCTTCCGCCGCCATTCCTGCCTCGCCCCCTTCCTCCACCCCTCTCTCCGTTGCCTTGATTGCCCTACCCCTGGTTCCCACCTCCGGCCACGCTTCCCTGTGAGCTGGGAGCAGGTGACGGCGGTGGGGCCACAGGCTGGGCCTGGGCTGCGGGGTAGATAGGTGGCGGCATACTCATTTGTGGTCCGGCTACTGGCGGCGGGCTACCCTATGGCACGATTGTATTGATAACCGGCCAGGGCCACTGTCCGTAGGAGGGTGCCCCTCCTTGCGAGGGGCCCGCACTAGACGAGGGTGCCGCCACACTTGGAGGAGCCGCCGCCACCGCCTGAGGCGTTTGCGCTTTTCCTGATCCCTGTCCGCCCTGCACCAAGTTACGCACTTTGCGCTAGGCCTTCGTCAGGTGCTGCGGCACCGACTCTTCCTCTTCCCAGAGCTCCTCCTGAACAGCCTCCTCTAGCACCGGCTCCTTTCCTTTTACTCGGACAGCCGTCACTACCCTTCTTTGCACCACTGACTCTGTCGCATACCCCAGCTGTGCCAATACGCCTGTAACAATCCTTGTTACCCCCGGGGTCCCAGAAGCGGTCGCATCTCTTTCCTTTCTCTTCTGCCTTTGCAGGCGTACCTGACGTTGCTCCACCTGGTCCAAACATCCAACTTCCACGCCTCTGTCAATAGTGGCCCAGGTGAGCTTGGTGCTACCTCCTCCATGTCTTGTTAACTCAACGGCCTCCGATGCCGTAAGTAGTCCCAGGAAAATGGCGCACTGCGCCTCCTCTGAAATCCCATGGACCTTCCGTGCCTTTTTCTTGAACTCCTGGACAAAGGCCCCTATCGTCGTAAAATCCTCCTTGTTCATCGCCTCCAGGTCCGCGGTGGTCAGCAATCCGTCTCCCGGGCGGTACTTCCTTTGCATCCCCTCCTTGAACCTTTCCCAGCCACCTTGGGCCGCATCTATAACTTTCTTCACCTCTTGATGGTAGCTGTGGAGGACATACTGAAGGATGCGTTGAAACTTCACAACGTCCGACCGCCAGACCAAAGCTTGTTCCACCCGCTATAGCCATTCTGAGACTCTCTCTCCACAGAAATGGAACGTGTCGACCTTAGGAATATTGCTCGGGTTCCTTTCATGCCGGTCAATGGCCGCGATGAGGTCGTCGAGCGTCAGACCCCTCTTGGGAGCACCCGATGCGCCGCCAGTTTCAGGTATCTTGACAACCTCTTCTTTTCAAGCTCCCTGACAAGAGAAAAACAAGCACATTCCCTTATTCAACATTACACCTTGACCGGTCTATTCCACCCGCTTTACCTAACTCTTACTACATACTTTACTCAATACTAGCACAGTCGCCCCTCATAATTTTCCCAAACTCGGGCAGGTAAACTTTCTCATCTACACTTAGTCACTCATTATTTTTCTCCTTACCTTCTCATCATCCCTTTATACCTTTTCTCATTCACTTCTCATACCCGGATGTCGTTCCACCAGGGACAACGGCAGGCTTTCCGTTATCCCCGGCAACGGCGCCACCGGTCGAGCGCATCGGTCCGGCACCTCACGGGGCAGCGCGGGACCCTCCCGGCCGCGTCACGCAGGAGTTGGTTTAATTCCTTTGTCGCAAAATATATGTATGGAGCTTCCGCAAGCCGATCCGGCCGAGAGCGTCAGCCATACCTCTCGCGAGCCCCTACGACAGGATAGGGCCTACGAGAGGCACGACTTACCTACACCTTACGGGAGCTGTCACCTCCCTTTGGTGGGCGTATCTCCGCCGAGCTACCAGTCCACAGTACGAAAGCTAATCAGTTGCAATCGCAGAGGTGGACCAGCTGAGGGCGTTTCTCGTTCGCTGTAGCATAGGGGGTACGCGGGGTAATACGCCTCTATCGAACCCGCACGCGAACCGACATCCTGGGGGGCTGAATTCCCAAGCGCGACTCGTCGTCGGTCGACTAGGACGCATCCCACACATCACGCACGCACCACTTTACTAACACAAAAATAAAACACACACACACACACACACACACACATACGAAACAACACAACCCAAGCAACGCGATAACGCTCCTAGCCCCTCGGTAGCCGTCCCATAACTTCCCGATACAGAAATCGGATAGGCGTCGCGCGCGAGACTTAATATAAAACCGCGTGGACGCAGGGCTATTGCATATCGACTCGCAATGCAATTGTGCGCAAGTAGTCGCAATGAAGGCGTACTACGTGGTACCCATACTCACGCGGTCCCCGTTAATCGCGAGGGTCGCGTTCGACACTCAAGTGTCAGCTGACACGCGCCTTGAGGGTTAATTTCTCGACGCTGGACAACCGCCATGCGCGGTTGAAGACCACACCCTCTTCTGCACCCAGTGCAGTGGGGTTGAGTAGACAGCTTTAAGCTGTCGTGGCGGTCGAACATCATGGGGTTTGACTTTGACGGCTGCCACGGACTATAACATCCAACTATAAAAACTCCAAAGAGCAAAAGATAAGGAATAGGCCGAAGGTTCCCCGCCTAGTAAACAAAATCATAGCCCTGGGGTACCCTCCCTTTTTCGCACGGCGTTGGCGGCCTATAACAATCTCAAACATTYGCCCATATGTGTCGGTSCCTTTGTAATCCCATAACTTTTTACACACCAGGGCGGTAAAACGTCTCGCGCGGGATTTTAATATAAAGTCGCGCAACCGAGGGCCTATCTCATACCACCCCGCTATGCAGGCGTACGCATGCAGTCGCAACGATGACGTACTACGTAGTGCCCATAATCAAACGGTCCCTCGTGGATCCGAGCACCGCTTATGACACTCAAGTGTCAGACTCGAAGTGTCGTGAGGGTCTGATCCTTCACGACATTGTACGGCTGAAGGAATAGCCGTGCAACCGCCACGAGACCTTCGGCCTTTGGTCTGAGCGTTTCGGTAGACAAGGCAAATTGACTCTGCGCGAGGGAAAACCCCTTCCCTGCAGAGCCTAGGGCTTGGGATGTCCTGGACCTGTCTCTTATACACATCGATGTCCTGGACAAGGACCTCGRAWCCCGGCCCAGRACCAACGTMCGACTAAGAAAAATCCTTAARAAGTAAAACCRATAAAAKGAAGGGYCTTCYCKAGRCCTTTTAGTCTTAACCYCTGAGCAGRSTYTTAGTAYGGGGGCCCTTTAGCCAATGCAAGTATTCATCCCAAGTATACTCATATATATGCATATATAACAGGGGGAAGTATGTGACGATCAMTTCTCACAGTCTCATTGGGGTCCCTCACAACCATAYGTATATATGTGATYGCAGGCAACCACATCCARAATCTGATTCATAGCACATACCTGCGAATCACATCAACGAGTCAATCAACARCCYAYGCACTRCACGGAGTCAACCCCAACCATCTTCAACACTYATACCCCTCGCTTTAGCCATGCAAGCCCMAACCYCMTGTCCAACCACACCTTAATTAAATACTCAGTACATTTGTTATATGGTCATTCAATAAAAGTCYGGGTGAAACCTTAATGAAACAATAAAAATCACCAGGGCTAAAGCCTTTTAGGTTGAGTGTGGAGGGTGAGTCGGAATTGAGTCGTAAACCGACGGATCGGCAACCGACCTGTCATCAGTGATAACTGATGATGATCCTCAAGGGATCAAACTGAATCTAGTTCGGATCTTGAATCAAACGACAAAAARAACMTGTAACACATGACARRTCAATGTCCCAGGCTAAACCAATAAGTTCATGGAGAGCAATCTCCATATCGTGATCTTACCTAAACATCCTAGTTAACTATGCCTAAGCCTACCTCTAAACAATACGGTAAAGTTTTTCCTTAGTCAGAGTGGACTATCAAAATCRCCACMTGTCAAAACATAATCGCTCTCTTTTAAACTAAGAAAATTTTGGCAGCGCTTCCCGTAGGAAAAGTGCCTTTCCAGAATTTATACAAGTCCAGATATGGAAGCAGAAATAATTTCTAACTCTGGAAGGTCAAATTTTGTCCAACTCCCTGAATTAGTAAAAATTTGGACAGCACTCCCTTTAGAAAGGGAGACTTCCCAAATTTACACTAAGTTAGATATGAACTCAAAAGACAATCTGAGTTCAACTTAGGTAAGATTCAACTAAGTCCTTATTTTTTGCAGAAATTTCGGCAGCACTTCCTTTAGAAAAGTGTCAATCCAAAATTTATACAAAGCTAACTTCAAAATTTGAGAGCAACCTCAACTTCCCGAAGTTCAATTTTGTCTAACTCCCTGAATCAGCAAAAATTTGGGCAGCACTCCCTTTAGCAAAGGAGACTTCCCAGATTTTAACTAAGTCAGATATGAGAAAAGACAAAGCTGAACCTTTGACAAGTCAAGATTCAACTAACTCCTTGGACTTGTAGAAATTTCGGCAGCGCTTCCCGTAGAGAAARTAGCTTGCCAAGATTTATACAAAGCCAAGTATAAGAAAARATMTTAGAAAATGTAGGAATTGACCTAAGTAAAAAAAAGATACTACAAAAAATGCRRGAATTRACACTAACTCCTATGACTCTAGCACATGGCGAGCAACTAAATCAACTACCTATCAACCCGAAACTCAGACTAAGTAGTGGCCTCACTCAGTCACATGCAAGCCAAAACCACAAAGGTAAGTACTCTCACCAACCCCAAGTCAACCTGAGCAAACAATAGTTCATGATCTCTTAATRATTTAACCCTTTATACCCTGCTTACATAAGACATAGGTCAGGCCGCCTGAACTTACAGAACGCACCCAATCTTAGCCAGGCCTAGAATCAGAATACCTAAACTTATAGAGCGTTCTGACTTGGCCAAGTATACACAAACAGAGGACACAACTACTTTTATCTTCTTTGGGCAGATGACTAGATCTCTCTAGTCGCCCTGGACTGCTTAAAGTATCCAAGTTGTTTATACTTATCTTCACCTTTGTCTTCTAAGGMTGCATATGACTGAACTAACTWAAGTTCAGCCTGCCCCMGTTTACCATCAATTTTATTCTTAGTTGTACTTTCTTCAARTTGTGATACGGCTATAGTCAGACCACCTAAACTTATAGAACAGTCTGATTAGCTCGTTCTTAGATAAGAYAGTAATAAGGTWTWGCCAAATTATAACCATTGGGTTCCAGCATGTGCGAGGCTTTGAGCCAGAMCCCCTGAACTTACAGAAGGGTCTTAACTCTCTKCCAGATTCGTTTCTACCTGAGCCATTATGTGTGTGGCATCRAGTCAAMCCCCCTRAACTTACASAAGGGTCTGCCTCYTTGCCAAGATTAATTCTTCAGAATAAAGAGCAGGAAGAGACTGAGCCACCTGAACTTACAGAACARCTCGGTCTCCTCGTCCAGAAACCAAAGAAACAAGTAAWATCCCAATGAAAACAAAGCAACCCAAGGCACCGAAACTTATTGAGCGCCCTGAGTCCTTGAAAATCAAGCACAGTCAAACCCCTCATARGTCAGARCAATCAGGCCACCTGAACTTACAGAACAGCCTGACCCTCCATGCAAACCATATCATTGGGTCTCCCCAAACTCATGGGGACATCCCAGCCTTCAGAGTAACCAAACCCCCTAAACTTATAGAAGGGTCTGACTTCTCCATGCAAAACCAAAATAAAACAAAGCACTGGGGTTCCCCAAACTTATGGAGACTCCCCAGCCTTAACGGCTCRTCAACCATCATGCAAATCATACCC